AGGATTTAAGTTGACAAGACTTATATCCTAACAAGCTTAAACTGACAAAACTCAAATGAACTTCAAATTTAAATTTTTTAAATATTTATATCCCCGATAATGAAGTAGTTGATAGAATACTTCAACCGACAATTTTCAAAATAACCAACCAAATTATTGAAGTTAAAATAATCATTTAAAAACTTAAAACAAATCACATCTACTCACCACAAGAGTTTGTCGAATGTGACAAATTTTTTATTAATTTTAGCTCACAAAAGAGCTAAAGTCATATCGAATGTACCATTGTATTCACGCTCAAAGTAATTTCTCGCTAGTAGGGATATGACTTGAGTTCTTTGTCTGCGTGGTTTGGCTCAAAGACCTAACAAAATTTTAGTTACCATCAGAGCCCTCTGACTGGGTTGTTGCCGCTAAATGACACCATTATGTTATTTTTACAGTCGCATTCTATATGTTTTCCAACGACTTTCTGCCATTTGAGTTGTGAGTCATAAGGGCACACATGATTGACACAAAGCTTTATGTTAGCTAAAATCAACATAAATTTGCTCATTTACAAACATTTACCCTAGATTTATAAGTCTCTTAAACGACACAACCCATGAATGCTAAAAAGAATCCTTCAGTCAGGCTGGGTAGACTATCTCCTTTGAATATGAGATGTTTGGTTTGCTGAAAAAATAATGCAATGTAAAATGAATGTAATACATTAGTAATATTTTGTGTTTGAAATACTGTAGAGTTGTTTGGTTCATTGTAAAATAAACGTAAGATTTTATTTCTTTGGTTTGAAGTAGATTGAAAACAATATATTTCAAAATATATAAAGTATTATTGGCAGGTGATGCGTGGCACCTCGCAACAGCGATCGACAATTGATGTTAGTGACTAGTGGCAGTGGGCGATGTTGGCGGACAACGGGCAATGGGGGTAGATGTTGGGCTATGGTGGAGGTGGTAGAATGCGGGCTATAGTGGCAAATGGCGGGCTGTGACGACAGACGATGAGCTGTTGCGGCAAACGTCAGCAAATGTTAGCAAACGGCGGGCGATGACAACGACGGGCTGTGGAAAACAGCCGCGATAGAATGCAAACAGTGAAGGACGATGAACAACGAACGACATACAACGAACGAAGAATAATAGAGGCAGGTAGTGGACATCAGGTGACGACAGTGGTTGGGGTGGGGGGTGGTGACCATGAAGGCAGAAGAGGCAGGTAGTGGGGAACGGTGGTCGACAACGGACAACGGCTGGCGGTGGATGGCGGGAGGCGGACGACAACAGGCGACAACGGCGGAAAAAAATGGTAGGCGGTGGGTGGTGACTGTAGCAGTTGGCGAGCGATGGCCGACAACAGCTAGCGATGGGTGGTAACTTGTTAATATTATTTTACATTAATGAACGGTGTAAATCTCAAATTCGGTCGAATTCTTCATTAAAAATGAACTTAAGATTTAAAGTTCAAATTCAATCATATTTTATATTGTATTTATAATTCTTTTTATCAAATATATAATTGTTTAAAATCTCAGTAAAAGATTTACAGAACATTATAAATTCTTCCAACCAAACAACCCTTAAGTAGATTAGGGACTACAACGACCTGGGATGACATAACTATGAGATTTTGATCTGGTTCGTCATCATTTCTCCCACCATCTGCTTTAAGATCCAAGTAATAAATTTTAAAGTTTAAATTGTAAGTTAGCCGCCCCTATATGTTTAATATTCAGTGTTAAATGACTAGCCTTAATCGAAAATGCTCTTCTATTATTAGGAGGGGTAATTTAATCATAGGGGCTTGTGCCTATGGAAAATCTCGAATTTTATGGCACACCCCAACTGGCCTCTCCCTTTTTAGGGTTCTACTTAGGTGCAACAGACTGACAATTTGATCAGACCAACTCTCACTAACACTCATCCTGACTTTTATAATCAGGACCCGGTGGGTGATGAATTAGTCTAATTGGATATCCACAACATACGTGATACATTGCATTTTAAGTACATATTCAGAAGGATGAAAATTAAATCATCCAAAACATGAAACCCATATAGAGCTGCTAAATCCAAAATAATAAAATTACTTACCTAAAACTTATGTATAATGCTTCCAAAACTATCGTGCAAAAGCTGTACAAGGGCACACCTGGCTACTCTCCCCAGTGCTCGTTGCTCTTTCTTGAAAGGCAACAACGAAGAATAAAAAAACAACTAAGCTCAGAGAAATAATCGCGCTAATATAAGATTTTACCTATGAAAAAGGAGCAACGTGCATGCTCGTAAAAAATTGTACATGTCTACACACGGCTTAACACGCTAGTTTAAGAAAGCTGGTACAAAAATTAAGACTAGTATAATATGTAGCTCGTAAGCATGAAATCATAAGCATTTCTCATAGTAGTATTATTTCATAGAGATCATATCATAATAATGTCACTTGTTTAATTTATAATATTTAACTATTTTCATATTCTTTTATAATGAGTTGAAATCCTGCTCCAAAAGCTATATGAACAATCAATTAAAAGTTGTGCTTTCCGATAGCCCCCTTGATACCTGTGATTCCCTAAAGTTCTGTCATCGTCTAATCCCAACTGTTTTCAGAGTTTTATCCCCGTATAAGTTGCAAGAGTTGGGAATAAATCCCTACATGTAATACTCTACCCATACATTACTCATGCATTTTTTATAGCATAATGCCGACATCATACATTCATGAATATTGCATATGCATGTATGAATCTTAAATGAATACCTGCAATGTATCATAATATAGCATATCATCATATGTATAGTAAAAGACATTCACTTACATTCATACATATTAAGCTGGTAATCATCTACAATATGCATGAAGTTTAAATGTTTGTATATCGAACTAAAAATTATATGCAAATCTATAGAAGATTATTTTTCTTAAATTAGTACTATATTATTTTATTTGATTTGATGGTGCAGCCTTACGAGGAGTTTTTATACGCTCGTCTCGAGCTCGCTGCCTCGTATACAACTTGGGGAATGTAGACATCATAGATATTCATAATACCTGCAGCATACATTCATGAATATTTCATATACATGTATAAATCATAAATGAATACCTGCAATATATCATAGTATATCATAACATGTATGAATCATAAATGAATACTTGCTATATATCATAATATAGCATAATATTATATGTATAGTAAAAGACGGCCACTTGTATTCATACATATTTTAAGCAGATTACATCTACAATATTCATGAAGTCTAAATGTTTTTATGTCAAACTAGAAATCATATACAAATCTATAGAAGATTATTTTTCTTAAATTAGCACAAAATTATTTCACCTGATTTGAGCTGCAACCCGATGACAAGTTTCTATACATTTATTTCGAGCTCGACGCCTCGTATGCACAACCTGCAGAATGCAAATATCATCAGAATTCATAAAATTCGGCCTCTTAACATGATTTAACTCAAAACATAACTTATTCGCCCGAAACATACCTCAAATGGGCTTTTCGGCATAAATCGTCCTTCCAAAATCAACAAGTCTCCCAAGTCCTTCTAATGTCTTAGTTTTCACTTTCACCTCGCTAATTTCATGCTAAAACTCAATTGGAAGCTTTCAATGTGCTTTCGACGCTTCCGACACTAGTTTGGTGCCTTCGACTGTTATCGAAAATGAAAAAAGCACGAAAAATGAGGCAAACGTTAAAACGGACGTGAGAGGAAGGAAATGAATACTTAGAATGGAGAGAGAGGAATTTGTACTTACAGAAACCATGTCGGAGCCCTAAATCGCAGCTGCCATACTCTGGTAGCCGCTCGGTTCGCTGTCTGCTCGCCCCTTGCCCTGTAGCAAGGGTCGCAACTTGATGCATGGGGCCAAACTAACAGGGAGGGGAAGGTCAAGGAAGAGAGAAGAAGAAATAAAGAGAGGAAAATACAAATGTGAAACTTTCGAGCTCTCTTTGACCGCATGAATGAAATAAAAGTGGCTTATGGTCGGTGTGCTACAATGCAGAGGATTAAGGAAGGGATTAATTAATATAATTAAGATGCATATAGGTTAAGAATTATTAAACTTCTAACTTTATATTTCCCAAATCATTCATAATTTACATACAGTGTTTTATGGATTTAATTGGTTTCATACGTAGAATCTAATAAATTTTTTTCAATCAAATTCCAAGAGATGTAAATTTTGGGGTACTTTTCAATTGTGCTGAACTTTATGTGATATTATGAAATTTAGGCGTTTAACCCTAAATGTTGAAGTTTTCACAAAATAAGGAAGAAATCTCTGGGTAGTGTCTTATCTACTATTACTTCTATCATATAAAATTTTGACTTACAAAGCTCTCTCAACAACAAAAGGAGAGTCAGAGCGTTGGAATTTTCGTAGCCCACAAATCTATGGAAATCCATTCTTTTAGGCGATATTTCAAGTTGGTGGCTGTACCGGGGATTGAAAATATTTATATGAGGTTTGGTAAATTTTGTTTTTTAATCAGGTTGTAACAATCTCTCTGGATGCATTTTACTGGGCCACTTTTTTAAGTTTTTCACGCTTTTTTTTTTTTTCTTCTGAGGACTTGATAGTTTGGATCTCTTGCTGACAGAAATGAATATTTTTTTGAAGATTGATCAATTTCATAGATGCGGTGCTAACTCATGAAGAAAAATAAATATGAAAACTAAACTTGGGCTGGATGCTGTGGAAAAACTTTAGCATTATCTCTTGGGCTTGACTTTATTATCAAGCAATTCACCTTCTCGTGCTTAATCATGCCATTATCTTTGCATTTTTTAAAGTTTAAAAAAAAAATCATGCATTGCGCTTGTTCAGTATTACTAGCTGAAAAAAATGCTTTATGGAAATTTGAAGTTGTCGCTTTTATTATTTCTTGCTTTTCTGACATAGCTTAATGTACTGTTCTGTCCTGATTTGAGCATTGAGATTATGTAACATATATGTCGGTGTTGGTTTTTCTGCAGGCTTTGTCTATCAGTAGGTCTCTATCTAAAGCGAAACTTGCTGCAGAGAAAGGACTGAAAAATTGTCAGCACCTAAAAGATTTAGTCAGGCAAACAATATCTGAAGCTGATGGGAAAATTGATTATGTTGAGGTAACTTGAAATGCTTCTGCCCATAAGGCCTTTTCATCGACATCCATGTGATTTTATGTGATCGTAATGTGACGTGGTTTTGCTTTGGGATTATTTAGTTTCCTGCAAATAGAATGAGCGTGCACTACATTCTTTTTAGAGTTTTAGAAATCTTGGTTTTTGGTTGGATGAATTTTAAATGTAGTTAAAAGTATCATAGATTTAAAATCCATTGTCTAGTTTATTTTTGATGGATTTGAAATTCATTGGATTTAGATGAATTTCAAATACTCCACATTTTATAAAGTTTTGCTCATCGCCCCTAGCCACTAGCCGCCCAACATTGGCCATTGCCTGCCCGATGCCAATCTCTGTCGCCATTGTCCACTCTCTGCCCACTGCCGTAGTTAACAACCTGCTAGATGCTAGCCGTCATACACCACATTTTATAAAGTTTTGCTCATCGCCGATCGCCCCTAGCCACTAGCCGCCCAACATTGGCCATTGCCTGCCCGATGCCAATCGCTGTCGCCATTGTCCACTCTCTGCCCACTGCCGTAGTTAACAATCTGCTAGATGCTAGCCGTCACCTACACTCGCTGACTACACTTTTTGCATTGATTTTATTTTTTTCTATAACCAAACAAGAAAAATGTAAAGCCTTGCACTTATTTTACATAAAAGATCAAATATTTCAAATATGATCTATTAAGGCTTTGTTTTGGATTAATTTTATTTTTTCTTTGTTTTTAAAAATATGTTTATTTAATGTGTTTTTAACTTGTTTTAATTTTTTATTTCTAAAAGTAAATATGTTTTTGAAGACTCTTAAAAACAACTTTTTGGTATTTTGAATGTCTTAAAAAATAGCATATCTTTATCCAGCATATCAAAAAAATATATTGTTTCAAATCAAAACATAAATAGAACAAGATAAAAATAAAAAATAAAAGTGATCCCAAACGCCCCCTAAATTTGTATTGCTTTTCTTTTTCAACAAGCCAAATGACCTGTCTTACCAAACCACTACATATCAAAGAAAACACTTCAATCACTGGCGATGATCCTGCCATGATCCTACCAATTGAAGTTCTGTTCTCGTGAAAACTTTAGAAGGGAATGAGATTTTTTTTTTTGTTCAGGTGGGTATCTACAGGCTGTTTGAAGCAAATTTAATCCAATTCCTAAGAATGGAACTTAATTGGACGTCAGTAGAGCTTCCCACACATCTTTGTTTTTCTATTCCAGCATTGAAAACTTAGGGTCTATTTGGGGCAGCTGCAACTATTTGAAAAAGTAACTTTTAAGCTGTTGCAGAAGAACTGCTAATTCAAAGAAAAAACTGCGATGACTATTAAAATTTTTTTTTTTTAAAAAAAAGTCAGTCTGTGACTTTCTAGCATCCATCACAAGTAATTAAGGTTTCGTTTACTTTTATCTTTCGTTCGATTGCACTCACTCCCGCTAATGGAGAAAGAGATGTTTGGTAACTGAACGTTTTTGGAATGTCTCTACACGCCGAAGTGGAAAACATAAAAATTGTCATTTTAAAATGCTCTCGAGGAGTCTCGTTCCTCAATGGGATTTTTGAAGTTGGCGAAACTCCTTCAAACGGAGCCCAAATCTAGTGACGAAACACAAAGTTTCTAGCAACCACCGCACCATAATCTCAAACACACTTTTATTGGTCTGGCTGGAATCTAGCATCTTCCTGATGCCCTTTTTTTTTTCTTACATAATTGATATAACTTATTTGTTATGTTTCCATGGAACAATACTAAATATAAATTTTACTTGTAAATGCAGATTGTGGAGCAGCAGGGCCTAAAGCCTGTTGAAGAGATCTCATGCCCCGTTGTACTATGCGTTGCTGCCTGGTTCGGAAATGTTAGATTGATCGACAACTTGGAAATCGATTAATCAATTTATGATTTTCCAATTTTGTCAGCCTCAAATGAAACATTTGTTTTTCACAGCAAAATAATATGAATTGCACAAGTCATCACTGCTGTTCCTTAAATTATCTCCTTCAAATTAGGGCTGTGAATTTAGCTCGAAGATCTTTAATCGCTCAAAAATCTATTTGAAGTGTAGCTCGGATTGAGATCTGATTGAAATTAACGAGCTAAGCTATGAGCCAAAACTTTGAATCAAGATTTTTTTGAGCCGATTTCGAGCCATACACATCAGCTTGAACTGGCTTGGATCGGCTCGAAGTATTTTTTATTTATAAAAATTATATATAATGTTAAATAAAATTGAATATAATGAGTTGTGAGCATATTATGAGCTGAAATGAATCCACATAACTCAATTTGACTCAATTTGAGTCAGGTCATTTTGATTTCGAGTTGGATTGAGCTGGTTTGAGGCCGATTGAGCTGGAATTGATCCAATTAACTTAATTTTATCCAACTCTTTTTAATTACGAGTTGTTAAGAGCCCAATTCACTTTCGATGCAAGCTGGCTTGAAATCAAATATGAGTCACGATTCGATTTTAAGCTAAACTCAATCTATTCAAATATATTTCACTTTTCAAGAGTTAAAATGATGATATTATTGAGGTAATTTGAAATGGTTGATTGGTATAAATATAAACACTAAAAATTAGATGTTAGATATGCAAATACATAGGAAATGGGTGCCATGTATGTAATTGCCCCTTTAAAATATTGTATGGTTTTCCATGAAATAAAAGGGCAGATTTTAAATGCTTTATTTTAATAACTAAATATCACTTTTTTTTTTTTGTATATTTATTAGCTCACACCTAAATCTTAATCACATTAAAAGTATCATTTATTCTAATATTCTTAAATAAATACACTTTCTTCATATAATTTGATTGATTTTAACACTGGAGGTTGTGTAAGTAAATATATGTATTAAATGTTGTAAATACATAAGGTTAATGCGACCTATCATATAGCAACAGTAGCATCGATTTGTATCATTCAAAAATACGGCAGAGTAATAAATGTTTGGAAAATTTACATACAAATCGCATATTTTACATATTTACATATTTAATACTGACTTTTACATTTACATTTATGATTTAATAATAATGTTATTTTTTGATGTAATGTTGAAGATCTGAACATTGGGCTATAACTAGGCTTGTCAAAAAAGCTCGTTGTTCGTGAACAATTCGTGTTCGATTCGTTAATGAGTTCGTGTTCGATTTGTTCGATAAGTAAACCAGACGAACGTGAACAAATTTTTTTCGTTCGGAACCAAGAACGAACCAAGCACGAACAGTGATGTGTTCGTTCGTGTTCGAATCGTTATTGTTTGAAATATAAAAAAATTTAAAATAATTATATATAAAAAATTTATGATATTTTAAAAAATTAAATTTTATAAATTATAATATATAATAAATTAATAATAATAATATATTAATATAGTATATTAGTAATATACTAATATATATATTATATATTTATATAACATGAGTTATATAATTAATATAATATATTATTTATATATATTAATATTAGGGATGTCAAACTGGCTCGTCGTTCGCGAATAGCTCGTGTTCGGCTCATTAGTTAAGAAACGAACACGAACAGTGACTTCACGAACAATTTCAAACACGAGCTTATTTCAAACAAACTAAATTTCAAACGAACCGAACACGAACACAAGCTTTGTTCGTTAGTGTTCGGTTCGTTTACACCCCTAGCTATAACTATGAAAATTTAGATATAAGATATATAAATAAATAAAAATTGTGTGGCATGCATATAAATTCTCTTAAATGTTCTAAACAAAATACTTAAGAAAAAAAAAAGAAATTTCTGCTTAACAACTGCGATTGAAATTTGAAAAATTGAATTTTTAATATGTTTATTTATTTATTTTTCTAATTTTTTTTTAAATTTGATTTACTTTTAGATTAAGGATTTGTTTTAATTTTAAATTAATATATTTATATAAAAAGTTTACCCACACAAAAAAAATAGATTTATTCTTGAATCTAATTTGGACAAGATTTACCCTAATTAATGACAAGATTTACCCTAATTAATGCATGTGAAAAATAGTATTTATTTTTTATTAAAATAATCATTCTAATTCTGTATCTATAAAGATATGTCACCTACAGCAAATAAGCCTAATAAAATAATCCTGGGTATGATCTTAGAACAAATTATAAGTATCGACTGAATCGGAATACAAGGAGCAAGATGTCGAAATAAAAGATTGAGACATAACGAGAATTTAAGTTTTAAAATCTTCATTCCCTCCAAAATTTTTTTAAAATTACTATAAATATTATTATTGATGTTCATCGGAAGGTCCGCGATAGTAGAGCAATAAATTTAGTGTTTTAGCGTTGAACGAATCCCCAACACAAACTCAAATACTTAAAGAGAGACGTAAGTAGGAGGAGACATCTTGATGTTTTATGTGGAAAACCTGAGAAAGGAGGAAAAACAACAGGTCCTAGCCCACCTAAAAGGACTTACGCTATAATTTTGAGTGCATGGTCCCCTCTACACCTAAATTAGGAGAGATTTAGTTATAAAGATGATCATTGTAAATATATAATAGTGGTTCATCGATATTAGCCTTAGTATAGTATTGCTAAATGTAGTTCTCAGTCATAATAGGCTTCAAGGGTTGCAGTTGATTGCTATGGAGTCAGTAGTTTATCGTGAATGTTGTAGATGGTGGTTGTGGCGTCAGCTTGTTGTATGGGTTGCAGTTGAAACTCATGATAGTAGTTGGCTATGTGAGCAACAGATCATTGCCTCTAGAGCATCGCTTGATCACAGAAGGTGTAGGAAGCTACATGATTTTCAAGACAAATAGGTCGTAGTTGGTTATGTAAGTTGTAGTGGCAATAAAGTTTATAAGTCGAAGAGGCGGGAGGCGGGAGTGGGGAGCTGCATGAGTTGCGCGACACGTAAGTAATAGTTGGTTACGCGGGCCTTAATGACGAGCTGCAACAACATTCGTAGGTTGCGAGGGTTGGAGTTGGGAGTTACACGAGCTGTGAACCACATAGATCGTAATTGGTCACGTAGGCCGTAGTAGTGAGTTGTGATGACGTCTATAGGCTGCGGACATCCGTTGGTTGCCGCTCTGGAGTCGGGAGCTGACAAGCTACGAACAATGTTAGTTGTAGTTTGGTCATGAAGACCATAGTGGTGAGCTGTGATGACGCCTATCTATAAGTCGTGTTGTCCGGAGTCGAAAGTTGCATGAGCTATGAATCACGTAGGTCGTAATTAATTAAGTAGATCGTAGTGGTGAAATGTGACGACGTTCGTTGGTCGTGGGGGTCGGAGTAGACAATTGCAAATGCTTTAAATCATAGGTCGTAGTCGATCACGTAGGCCATAGTGGTGAGCATTGATGATATCCGTTGGTTATTGGGTCGGAGTTGGTCAAGTAGGTCGTTGTGGTGAGTTGCGATAACGTCTGTAGGCCGCAGGGGCCAGAGTCTGGAGCTACACAAGTTGTGAGCCACGTAGACTATAGTTAGACAGAGGCAGCAGTGATTGAAGGCGACGACAGCCAGAGTCAGTCAAAGTACTACTGACTTCATATGAATCGACTATAGCCCTTTAATTTTAATAAACACCCAAGTTACAGAATTTGTATATAAACATATCCTACTTTGTATTCGCCAAGGAGAAAAAAGAGAGAATGGTGCCACTTAGGATTTTTATCTCAAGTGGGTCCCTATTAATTTTAAGGGAAATTGACATATGTAGGACACAATTTACATGTATTTACATATCTCACACCTAAAATTCCATATTTATATACATAACATTTTGGTGCTTTAACATTACGCATAAAAATGTATATTTCTCTTTTAAAAAATGGTAGAAGTGTCATTTATGACATGCTTTTTAAAAATTTGAGTGCTATGCATGTCAATACTAGTGTTCAGGTGAGAGATATGTAAATACTAAAAATTCTGCGCTATTCTTGTAAATGCGCCCTTATAGTTGTTAAATAAAATAAATGCATTAAATTTATACTTTATTATTCGATGTTTAGAGAAGCTAACATAAACACCACACAATTCTTATATATTTACATATCCAACAGTTAAACTTTCATATTTATGTTTGTAACACTTAGGTATTATAAATCTAAAAGTGAATACATTCACTTTCTAAGAAAAAAATTATTTTTTGATGTGATATAAATGATTTGAGTACTTTACAAGTAAATATGAAAGTTTAAGAGTTAGATATGTAAATACATAAGAGTTTTGTGTTATGCAAATAAATATCATATCAAGATATAAGATTCATCAAATTTAGCTTGCTTAGTTTTATGTTAAGGGGTATTATGCCTTGACTAGGGATGTGTTATAAGATGAATGTAAAAAAGAATTAAGAAATTTAAATTGAAAACTAATTATAACAATATTATGGCTGGAGTAGGGCTATCAAAATAGCTCTTGTTCAATTCGTTCGCTAAGCAAATGAGTTGAACATAAATAATTTTTTTGCGCTCTATATATAAACACAAATAAAAATTTGTTTGTTCGAGTTTGGCTCGTTTTGACTCGAAATAATTAAATTATACACATATGAGCACTACTTTTAAATAATTTAATTGATTACAAGGTTGCAAATATTTATAATAAGTTAAAATTATTAATTAAAAAAATAAAATAAAATATATTAAATTCTATTTGAATGGATATTTCAAATAAATAATAAAATTTAAATCTCGACCAATAGGGCTGCCACAACGGCTCGTTGTTCGTGAACAGCTCGTGTTAGGCACATTAAGAAGCTTGTGTTCGGCTCGTTTACTAAGTTAATTAGCCGAACACGAACAACATGAACAAATATTTGTTCGTTTCTGTTCAATCTTTGTTGAATACTATTTTTAAAAAAATTTAATTGACTACAAGGCTACAATGATTTATAATCAATTAAAAGTATTAATTGAGAAAATAGAATAAAAAATATTATATTCAAATGATGTTTTAAATCTTGCCTCAATCTTTAACATCTTATTGCCACATAATTAGGGTTGTCAAAACGATTATTTGTTCATGAACGGCTCGTGTTCGATTCGCTCGCGTTCGATTCGCTAAGCAAACGAGCCGAACACGAACACACTTTTTGAGCTCGAAATATACGAGCCGAACATGAGCTGAGCCTGGGCTCGCTCGTGTTTGGCTCGTTTACACCCCTAATGACTAGGGATGACAAAACAGCTCGTTGGTTGCAAACAAAACTCGTGTTCACCAAGCAAATGAGCCGAACAAAAATATTTTTTTGCACACAATATATAAACTTGTCAAACACGAACATTAATATTTTTTAATGAACCAAATACATGTCGAGCTTATGCTCGCTCAAGCTCAACTCGTTTACACGCTTAGACGGGAGTTATCTTTTTAATATAATTCAATGAAAAATCATAAATTTATTTATTTGGATTAATTATAAAAATTTAATATTCAAATTAGTGAATTTGAATACTATCTTACAAATTTTTTGTGCTTTTTGCTATTCCAATTTTCATTTTGTTTTTTTAAACTGATACTTGTTAAATAAATATCTCATTAAAAGCCTACTAAAATACATAATAATCTTTTTCAACGTGATTATTTATTTATTTCATATCCTTGTCTTAAATTAACGTTATCTGTTGTTTTTAAGATAATCATAAAATTGATACAATAAAATATATAAACTAAATGCATATGATTTTTTTGTAATGTCTAACTCATAATAGACGTGTTACACGACAAATTTTATCTTTAATATCACCACAAATTCATTAGCAGGACTTATTTAGAGTCTAATTACAGCACTGCTAAATGCAAAAATAACCAAAATTTAAAAAATAAAGATCATACTCTAAAATCAACTCAAACCTAATAAAACCATAAATAAATTTAAGGGATAACTACGTCAACAACAAAAAATTTTATTATCCATAAAACTAGCGCCCATGTCAAATTTTTTTTTTGAACCACCAAAACGAAAAATTATTACGACCGGAGGGCGACGGACAAGCTGGGCATCCGAGCGACGGCCGTGATAATCTCTACACCAAAACAATGCATTCTGGGGTGCCATGATGAATTTGATAAAAATAAAAAACATGTGCCAGGAAACTGGGCTATTATTAAAAATGGATGAAAAAAGGTGCTACATTTATAAATAGTAAGATTTTGAGTGTTATATACGTAGTTGACCTTGACATCCTTTCAACTCAGTATACATACAACTAACCTCATCTTCCTCTACATGCAACATGGGGAACAATCCAAATAACTGCCTTCATAAAAAGTAAAAGGATTAAAAAAAATAATAACAACAAAAACACATAACTGACCATCTGATGATTCGATGAAGAGAGTAGATGTTTTAGATTCGACTTGTGTTAAGGTAGAGGTAGACCTAAAAAGACTTGAGCTTATTGTATAAAAAATGATTTTAATTTATTAGAACTAAATGAAAATATGACACTAAATAGGACGCGATGGAGAAAAATGATTCATGTAGCCGGAGAAATTATTCCATATGGACAGCGCATGCAGAGATGCATACGTTGTCCGATCTCGGCCGTCGATCACCGTTTTTTTGTTTTTTTTTTTAAATGAGCCCACCAAAATACAGTTTTGTTGTGATCGACGGTCGAAATCGGACAGCGCATTCATCTCTGCATGCATTGTCCGTATGGAATAATTTTTCCATGTAGCTGACCCCACGTAGTGAGATTAAGGCTTTGTTGTTGTTGTTGTACACATAAATGACCAAATGTGGCATACATAAATCATGATTTCTTATTGGAACGAATAGATGTAAACATCAAAAACTAAAATGTAAATATAATAATTTTTCCAGCATATTTTAATAGCCAAAATTAGTAAAAACAACACTAGAGAGCTCAGAACAAAATTCAAATGAATAAATAATAGCTGACAACCTACCAACCCTTATTTATCTGAATCATGCCTATTTTGTATGGTCTGAAGCTACAAAACTGACGCCAATATGCTGTATCTTTAACCCTCATCTGAATATCAAGTCAATGTGGTTTTGGCACATATCCATCGACCGCGAAATTTCGTGTCGCAGCCGGTATGGCCAAGCGAATTCCGTCGAGCTCCGGTTTGGCAATCACCTGGCAACCAAGACGTGACCTGGGAAGACATTTCAAAATTCTTTCTAGAGTTTTAAAAGATAACCAAAATTTAAGGGGTATTTACAAACAAACCATGCAATTTGTGTGTATTTAAATATCCAACACCTAAACTTTTATATTTACGTGCATTACATAAAAAATGGCATTTTTTTTTAAAGTGAAAAACATAGTTTCATGCATAAGTTTATTACTCCAACGTGGTATATATGTAAATATGAAAGTTTAGGTCCTAGATAGGTAAAAGCATTAAAATTGTGTGGTATGTATGTAAATTTCCAAAAATTTAATAATAGCAAAGGAAGATGATAAGTACGTTTCCGTTAGCCCAAATGCAAGGTCTAACATGTCGTTTTCTTCATCAGTCGGATCCTCCAATTTGTTATAGTAGTTGACATCCTAACACCAAAACATATACATTCACTTCCTAAAGAAATAAGGAACATAGAAAAAAAAATAAAAAAAAGGCATTTACATATCTACCAGCCAATTCCTATGTATTTACATATCTAACACCTAAACTTTGCTTTTTAATATTTAAAACAACCAAATCTTTCATATCACATTAAAAATACCATGATTTTAAGTGAGACACCTTTTTCAAGCATAGCAGCAGGTGTTAGATATGTAAATACATGGGAATTGAGTGGTATGTATGTAAATCTTCAAAAAAAATAATAAGGGAGTTCTACCATCACAATCACATGGCAGGTAGAACACGCTAATGATCCCTCGCATGCTCCTGAAATCAAATAAAAATTTCACAGAAATTAGAAATGTATAATTACTATGAATAAAAAATAGAAAGAAGATGCGGATGTTCATTGACTGATAGTGAAAAAAATTGCTGAAATTTGATGGAACCTTCTCAAGTCTAGCTTTTTCTTGAGAGAGAATTGTCTATAGGAGTATCTTAATACAAAATTAATTAGAATGGAGGGGTTCGCTTTGAGAATCGTGCATCGCATAGACAATTAATATTAGAGTAAGCTCAAAATAACTCCAAAAACTATAAGACTCATCCTTGTCAAAGTTTTGCTCAGGTATCCTACCCAAATCTATTTATTTATTATCAACATTAGTGAAAAGAACTTGATGATTATCCATTCTCCAAAGAAAAAAATTCTGCTATGATTTTTTCTGAAGGATATCATAATACTCGACCTTCCAGCTCTATGTCATTTTCATGAGCTGCTTCCAACATTGACATCCCAACAGGAACACTCATGGTCTTTTCCTCACCATCTTTATCAACAAATGTTACAGATATCCTGCATAATATAGAAGAGAAATAAAAAATATATATAAAAGGAAAAAGTCAATAAACAAGATGCTTAAAATGTGGAAAAAAAAGATTTATTAATTGTCACAATTAAAAAAGTACTGATATTTAAAGGTTAGCAAAGGAAATTGGAAAAGACTATAATTTCCTCAAGCATCAAAGAATTTGAATGGCTGATGTCAGGTCAAACAGTGCAGTTTGTATTGTTTACCAAGTTAGGACGCTTTCCGAAAAAGCGGGGATGGGGGTGGGTTGTGGGGAGGAATGGTGAAAACAAAATAGTTAAAGCGAAAAAACCAAAAAAAAAACCAAACAAGAAAGGGAATGTCACCTATCGGCAGGTAAAAAAAGAAGATTATTAAGATATTAACTTAGTTTATATCAATCATTTGAAGCGAAATATAGTATGAAGATAGCAAACATGTTTTAAGGCCTAAAAAATACGTTTCAGAACTTGTCAACATCTTAATCATCCAACCACATGTTGAACAAACATAATAAATAGGAGGATGGATAAACGAATCACAAATAAAACTAAGATGCCATAGTTTTGAGTGAAGAACATCAGAAAATTTGGACTTCAAGCACAAATAAGTACCGTAGAAGATTGAAAATGCTGAAGATCCATGCTTGAGCATGAATAAAATTAAAACTCAGTCTGAGCTCATCTTTTACAATATACAAATTTTTAATAGATTTAATCACTCACTTTTCTTTATTTCCTTGTCCTTCAAAATCCTCATTGGTGGCTGTAGTAGAGAAAGAATGATTTGTCTGAGCCTATAAAAAATATATAAATATATTAGAGCACTAGAACAGCATAACACAAGCTCTGTCGGTAATTAATAAAAATTGACTGAAAAAAATAAAAAAAAATTTAGAATTTTCTTTTACAATTTACTTTACAAGCCAACTCGAGTGTTTTTGGCCTAATAAAAGTTTTCATTTGATCATCATCTGATATAAATTTTGGTACGACAAAATGTAAATTTCTATCTAAAATATAAATGAGAAATGATTCAAAGGATAGTAGGAACACGTGTGGGGCAAAAGCAATTGAGGATGAAATGCAAGATGAAAAAAAAAAAAAAATTCAAAATTTGCAGGTTACTAGTTTATAATCTTACCAAAAAATTATTGCTTTAAAAGTAAAGACAATGAACATGATTTATTCGTTCCGAAAGACAATTTAACAAGTGATAATATTTAACATTTTACAAGGAAAATAGGTAATACAAAATTTTAGCATCATACAAGTTTACACTTCGAAAATAAAACTCGGCACATTTCTTGCTCAGTAAATTTTCAATCCATAAACAAAACCTACGAGTGAATACACAATTTTAAAAACAAGAATAAAAATAGAAATCACTCTGAAGGGAAGATGACTCAAGTTGGTAAAAGGGTTCTCCTCCTATTATTATAGTTCACACATGTAAAACACTCAAGAAAACACATCTAACAAGAACAAACATGAATGAATTAAAAAATAGAATTTAATTTTAATATTCAACGGCCATAAAATTTTATGAGCATTTATATATATGCATCACACAATTCTTATGCATTTACATATCTAACACAAACTTTAATATTCACTTGTCAGACACTCAGATCATCAAAAATACCCCTAACATTATCTTTTTTTTAGTTAAATACATCTTTTCATGCATATGTTTTGACGTGATTATGACACCATAGTATTATATGAGTAAATACCAAACTTAATATATTAGATGTGTAAATACATAAGAATGGTGTGGTACCCATGTAGATTATTCTGAATTTGACATAAGGTAGCTTCAAATGATTCAAAATAAGAAACTACATAATTCTATAGAAATCTACTAAAAAAGGTTAGTTTCGAGAGTTATAGTGGTATAAACTCTTCCGTAAATTTCACTTCTTGAACTGCTCAAGGCTTGACAAATACTCCAAAATAGAGAAATGGCAAAGAGGCAACATGAATCCTAGCAGAAAGGGCTATGTGGCAAATAGTGTGAATTATGAGCAAGCATCACAAATAGAAAGGCAAAATAGTGTCGGGTTGTAGCAAGCAGCAGCAGTTGAGACAATGGGAGGTTAACAGCAAATCAATTAAAAGAAATACTGGTATGGAAATATAAACTTCACTTGAAACTGTATCATTAACAAGAATGGTACAGATGACTAGCTTCCATATCAATTTGCTATTCAGGAAAATTTAACTCCAACAAATTGAGCATTTCATAATCTCCTAGTAAGCTTGGGCATGATGCATTATGTCAACTGTTTTTTTATGGTAATACTACAACAGTAAGTTCTAGTTCAACTAAATTCATTTTTAAAATTTTTAACATTTTATAATCAAACAAACGCTACTCTTCAAAAAAACTAATTTGAATTATTGATCCATTCTAAAAATATTTCAAGCTTATAGTTACATCAAATGAAGGTATGTAGGACATCCCAATGATTCTTTACCATGATTCAACTGCAGCTTTTGAAGAAACATCTTCAGGTTTAAAGCTGAAAGGCAATGCTGCAATCTCAAACAATATTTGCAGCATGTGAGAGGCTGCTTTTGTAAGACGAACCCATGACTACTAAGCTAACTTAATCAACGCTCCAAACCCACCCTCTACAGTTCAAGTTCATAACTTTTCATGCATGTTATGCACGCAACTAGCAGAAGGCTTTCATTCAATTTGTTTCATCAAAGTTGTGTCCAAAAAGGATGGAAAAAGTTCTACGACAAGTTATGACACAAAGGTATTACAGGTATCATATTCAAATGACACATTTGAAAAGCATAACATATATAATCAACAAGCCGAGCCAAAAGATATTAAAGTAAAAAAATGGCACTATACAATCATAAGAGGGATTCCTAATGTAACTAACCATGTGATGCATACGAGGAGTAAATGCTGCACCAAAATAGCTTCTGCTTGCTGAGCATCGACTTACTACATAAAAGATCAGTTTAATAAATTTTATTTATGCAACAAACTGCGTAGAAAAACAAAGGCAGTATATCATAAGTGCAATAAAATATAAAAAAAAAACACTACACAAAGCTCAAATTAATTTCAGATTGCAGAACGGGGCACCTCATAGGCAAACAATAACTTGCCATTTTTGATATACTTGATAGCCAGGCATACTAATTAAGAATGTCCATCACTACCTAAAAATGATCGGTTACAACTATAAGCCGCTGCGAACAAAGTAAAAAACAGCCAAGAGACAAACCAGGCATCATAAAAGAGCATGCAACGACTCAGAAACTTTGTACAATGAGCATGTTAGTTTCATCTCAAGAGGATGACCTCCGTTCAATAGAAAGTTGAACCAAAATGGAAACCAAGAATATTCGAAGTAAAAATGTAACGATGGAGTGGAAAAGTATGAATCAATTACCGGAATTTAGACAAGTGAGAAAAATATTTAGCTGAAATTTCAATCATTATCATGTTCTCTAATGTAGGCACTTTCCATAAAAAATCATGAGTAACTTCATCCAATTTATTATTATTTAGTCACATCTACATTTTCTTATTAAGCAAAATGCCAGAATTGATTAAACAAAAATAGGAAACAAGTTACAACAATTGACGTAGAACAAAAACTTTCACCTGTACAGGAAGAATTTTACTATGGTATTTTAATCATCATGATGTTTTCTATGAGAAAGAAGTGGATGAGAAATAAGAAGAAAAAATGGTGGAATACAATATGCTTTACTCAGTCAGAACATGGCTATATTTATAGGGTTAAAATCATCAAGTAATAAACTATTAAAGAAAAGAAAAAATATGGCAGCAATTGCACTTGAAAAATTACTAAAAATAGATTATGGTAACTCTAAGAAACAATATTATAGATGTTGAATAAATTTGCTCCAACAATAAGTTATAGTACACCATCTAGAAATGGATTTTAATTACTAACAATATGAGAGAACCCACATTGCTACATCACCATATTTGCCAACCTTATGAATTTATCATTCTCAGGAATCCCAAGATTTCAGCATTAGGTTGGCACGCCAGCACCCTGCATTCAATTGCCACTAGTCCATAGTAGGAAAAGTAATGCTTCTTATTTCCAGAAGCTAATGATTGTGAATTATTCAACGTTCCAAGCTTATCAATTACTTCTTATTATGTTAAATTTTCTCTTCAATGAAGTGTTGATCTACCACTATAAATTTAATCCAATCATCATAGACATGATTATATATTGTAGCCGCTTTATTGAACAGCATAACAACTGAAGAATCATAATAGTGATCTTATGTTCTTCAAAAACTAGTTTAAGAATGATTAATTCACCAATTTCACTGGCTAATGATCCAAGTTATGCTTCTGCATTAGTCCTTGCTGCCAAATTTTATTCATGCCTTGCTACGTTACAAGATTACCCACTCCCTCACATATGTGCAATTTCTAAAAGTGAGTTTTCTATCAACTATAGACCCAGCCCAATCTGCATCAATATAGACTTCTATAATTATGGATTCTCCTTTCTTCAAAAAAAAAAAAAATAAAAATAAAAATAATAAAAAATAAAAAATAAAAAAAACCCTTCTGGCGTACTTCTTTTAGATATTTGAGAATTCAGATAACAACATTCACAAAAAAGCACGCAAGAACCGACTAACCAAACTAATAGCAATAACTAAGTCACCTTTAGATTGAGCCAAATAAGTCAGTATTCCCACCAGCCACCGATATCTTCCTTTATCAACTATAAAATTGATGCAGTTGGACTGTCAACTGGTGCTTCCAACAAGGTTGATATCCTTAATAAGATCTAGAACGAACCTTCTTTGAGAGATTATTAACCTCAATTTATTCCTATAGATTTTTTTTAACAAGTACTTGAAATATTCAAATTCATTGATTTCAAACTCTCATGCCATCTTTTTCTTCAAAATATTTATGTCTAATTCATAATTAAATGTTACAATGATGTCCTAATTTGGCCTTGGGCTTGGAATTACTACGGCAAAAGCAAATGGTCGGACTACGATTTTAAATTACAAATAATATCACTAGATAACAAAAATAATTAATCTTTATAGCAGGAGAGTCGCTACTGAATAAAATTAAATCAATTCTAATATACAACAATTGCTAACGTGAATATTGTTTTATCGTTTGCCCGCATCTTCAATACATTATTTCTCTTCTTCCACTTGTATTCTAATCCAACATTGATTCTTGCCAAAACAAAAAAAACCAACTATGATATGCAAACATTGATTATTGTTAAACAAGCGTAAACAACTATGATATGAAAATTTCAAGGACAACGAGAAGATTATAATGGCCCATATAAAAAAAAATTATTAGAACCATCTAACATCGGATCAACCTAGCCGATGCTATCTGGTTAGTGTCATTACGTAGGAGAGGTGAAGAAACGATACAGGTTGCTATAATTTTCAGGATATGAGTATTATTCAAATTTATATTGTTTTAAACTAATATTTTTTTAGAGAAAAATACTTGCAAATAAAAAATGAGTAGTAAATGATAAAATATCTATAGAAGACGCAATCTAACTAAAAAAAGTAATTTCATAAATAATTATTTTCTTTTAAGTTAAATTGAATTTTTAATTCGTTAGTGGCATTTTAATTTATTGGATCATTATTAGCAAACAATCATAATTGAAATTTGAATTTTATCGTCCGACCGTTTCTTCCAGTCTTGATAATTCCAAACTCTTGGGTCAAGTTATGACAAAAAAAATCATAAAAATACATAATACGAGTACGCTTGCCATCCTTATGATTGAAGAAATTTGTGTGATCAAAGTGAGCATATTTAAACTAATATTAACTCAGCTTTATGAACTGTTTTAACCAGGCTCGAGGTAATTGTTTAAGCTCATAAAAACATTTCTCCAATTTGAAGATCAAGTATATCTCCCCAAAGTCACTAAGTTTTAGAGGATGAATGGATGATCCATGAAAAGTTCCTCATTTATATCGCCATTCAAAAATGCATTATTTAAATTTGGTTGGTGAAGTGGCTAGTTAGGGTTGATTGCACTGAAAGGATCCAAATGATGTTGAATTTTATCACAATAGCAAATCTTTCAAAATGGTTGATCCATAAGTTTGGGTAAACCCTTTTGCAATCAGCCATATTTTTATCTTTTAATGGATCCATTTGATTTATATTTGGCAATGAAGCTCACATCTACTTACCATGAGAATGACATGCTATGGTCATTCAATAACTTCTCATGTTTCATTTATTTTAATAGCATTCAACTCCTCTTTAATGGCCTCTCTACATTCTATATTATTAAGAGCCTCTTCTATCGCCCAACAAATTTCAATCCTTGCAATTTCGAAGATGAAGTTTTCCTTTTTGTCATAAAAAGAACAAATGGTAATATCCCATCATACTTGCTAAAGAATATTAAGTACCATCACAAGAAAGAAGAGCTTAAGAATTTAACGAGTTAAAATAAGATTAAAGTCAAGCTTTGAGTGGTAGAATTGTTTCACTGTTTTATAGAATTTTCCTTTGGAAGTACATATGTAGTTCAATAAAATGTTGTGAGGTCGATTGAAAAGGATTGCCAAAAACCTCCATGTTGCCTAATCTATGATGGCTGGTGGAATTATTGGGCTGTATAATTTCAGAGAAAATATTATAAAAATTTCCTTACTCTTCTATCTTCCCCCCATAATGAAATAGAAAAGTTTATGCTCAAGCGATACAAATTAATATAAGTATTTAGGTAATAACATTTATACCTCTTGAATTGCTTCATTTATGATAAATATACATTTAAGGCATTAGAATCAAATTTATTTCTATTAGATGCATGATTGTGAACAATGCAACAACAACAACAACAACAACAAAGCCTTAATCTCACTACGTGGGGTCGGCTACATGAATCCTTTTTCTCCATTGCGTCCTATTTAGTGTCAGATTTTCATTTAGTTCTAGTAAATTAAGATCATTATTAATACAATAAGCCCAAGTCTTCCTAGGTCTACCTCTGCCTTTCTTAACACAAGTCGAATTTAAAACCTCTATTCTCCTAATCGGATCATCCAATGGTCGACGTTTAATATGATTGTGAACAATGCAGTCGTCCAAATTCTTTAAATGGAAGATTAGGAATGATACTTGTTCAACAAGCATTTTGAAAGCACATCAATAGGAAATTTGAACTGCAGTTTGTAAACAACCAATTTATAAGATAGTATTTAGTGAGAATAACATCACTCCAATAATATTTAAGAGTATTACCATTAAACATAAAAAATTAGCCACCTCCAATAGATATAATTTAGCAAAAAAAAATTTTGTGAAAGAGTTTTAGGGCAAATACTTTGATGGATAATAACATTATGATTCTGGTAACTTACAAGGATATAAAGAAAATACTATAAACCTCCAACAAAGTAAAGAATTTGAATTTCAATGAAGCACTAGGTTTTAACTAGATCGTGGAACAGTCAAAATTGTGCTCAACATTCGGTTTATCCCTTAACAATAAAGCCAACACACATGAGCGTGATCATTGATGATAAAAATATGGATCCAAATATGGATCCATTATTTGGAGTTAAGATTTTGAGATTTGAATGATCCTTGATATCACTACGCACTTGCATAAAAGGTTTGATAGTTATATATAATTTAGGTTTAAAAGTAGTTCCTTGATGTTTGACAATTTGAAATATTTCACATTAAAAAAAAAACTTCATTATTGAATAATCAAAGAAATAAATTTTTATGAAAAACTAAGATGACCTAACCTATAATGCCATAGCATAATTTGATCAGCTTTTTCAAGAATGAAAAGGTCTCTATTGATAGAAGTGGCATGATTAGTCTCATTAAAATTTCATCAAAGAAGAACAAATCTTTGATCTCGCTAACACTATAAGTTCTCTTCTCTGATTTATAGTACTGAAATTCATAATATT